TCTATTAAGAAGATACATAAGCACCGTTAATCATGTTCATAAATGGTATACGGGAGATATTTGGAATTCAGAAGATCCTGCTCATAAGTCTCTCTTAATTGTCAGAAGCATGCATAAGAAAATCACCGACAAAACAAATAAACAATTTTCTGACGGGAGTTTCGTTTTTGGTTCTCAATTTGCTATGGCTATGACTCAGTTTGCATTTGTAGGTCTTATTACTTTGTTCCCGACTAAACTAGCCATAGATTGGAATAAAGAAGATACAGAATGTTTTCTACATTTTTGGAGATGCATTGGATATTTACTTGGTATGGAAGACCAGTATAATATATGTAAAGAAAGTTACCAGAACATAACATCACTGTTTAATGAAATTTTAGAAAAAGAAATAAAGCCAAATATTAAAAAACCTCTCGAAGAATCCGTGCAAATGGCAAAAGATATTGTAACTACGCTTAGATGCGTAAACCCTATGCTGAGTTGGAAATCTTTAAGTGAATACTGGAATGAAAATTTAGAAATAAGTTCCGAACGGAATTTAAGTATATTTGATTGGGTTGTTTATTGGTGGCTTCGATTAGTATTTAATTTTTTGTTATGGTTTCAAATTTTAAGAAACTGTTTTAATATTTTGACAATATCTTCTTTGAATAAAGTAGTTAATAATATGGCTTTTTATGAAAATAGTGCTCGAAAATTAGAAACCAAATTAAATAGGGGAAAATGCGATTAGAATTCGGAATTATTACTAAATTTATAAAATATTTTAAAATATATTTTTAGAAAATTCATTAATTAAATATGTAAAACAAATAGGTAAATAATTAAATAATTTCATATTAAATTTCAATATTTAGATGACAGATATTTGAGAAAATTTATCATAGAAAAATTTTAGTTTAACATTAAGCGGAGAGAAATGTTAAGGAAACCCAATCATCTAATTATGATATTGCAATATGTGCATTTTATTCTGAAATAACGATTATATTATTAAAAAATTACGTCATTTATAACTAATATTGTCAAATGACGTAATTTAATTTTTTAATAATATAATGTAACAATGTACTAAATAACGCATTATTTTAAATACTGTATATGCAATTAAATGCATTAGATATAATTGAACAAATATTAATAAATGAAAATGTTGAATGATGAAAATGTTATATTTATTTGTTGTTTGAATAATATCATACAATAATTATATTTAAAATTAATACGTGTATATTTTAAAAATCATTTTTGAGTTGCCAACGTTAATGTTATTTGCTATACATATCTAAATATTTTTAATTATACTTTGTAAATTAGCAAATTAACAAATAGAATTGAAAAACTTTTTAGGCCAAAAAGTCGACAAGAACTATTTTTATGTCCAGACAAAACCAAAATCAATCTAATATATAATCGAGACGGGTTGATAATAATAATAAGCGCAGAGCCCAAACGGTTAGAAGTTGAAAGTTTAAATTTGGTACACAGATAGGGTACGTCATGAAAACGCACACTAAGAAGGGATTTTTCGAAATTCCTCCCCACGGGGGAGAGGGACAGGATTAAGGCTTAACACTTCCATCAACAATGGAAGTGTTAAGTAACAATGGAAGTGCTAAGTAACAATGGAAGTTTTAAGTAACAAAAGTTTTAAATAACAATGGAAGTGTCAACAATGGAATTGTTAAGAGAAAGTGACGTGCAAGACGCAGATGCAGTTTTTTCGTTTTTGCGGGAAATCGAACATATTTTTAGACCCATCTAAAAATTCTCTAATTAGTCTGGAAACATGGGGACCCAATTATTGCATTCTGTGAAAACGGGTAAGGTTGACTGTAACGTAATAATCTTTATCTTAGTTATCGTTACTTTTGCCCGAGCAACGCCGGGCCCACCTGCTAGTAAAATATAAAATACAAAAATTTCTAGATCTAAAGTATTTCTGTTTATTGTTATTGTAAAGTTGTTGTTTAATATTTAATTATTTGTAAATACATTAGAAATTATCCTGTAGACAAAGGATTTCCTCCCCCGTAGCAATACAAAATCCTAAACATAACAAGAATAACACAAAAATCATTTCGAATGGGGGAAAAGAATAATACAAAATTCGTTTACAATTACGTTTAGTAAGATTCGATTAGTAAATGAGATGTAATAGAAATATTCTATTTCTTAAATTTTTTTTCATCATCATCATCATCATTTTAATATCTATGTTTACTGAAATTTAACGTGGTATTTTGGAAATACCAAATAGTATTAGTGTATAAAAGCCAGGCTTATATGCTAATTTATGTACAGTACCTGTATTTAAACGTCTGTTTAATTTATCTTACAACATTAGAAAGATAGAAACATCTTTATTTTAAATTTGGATTACAAATGCATTTCGGGTAGGATTACATTCCCAACCCTTCTTCAGTGCATATAAAAGAATAAATTTACTTTATCTGAATTATATCATCCATAAACATACATAATAGTCTTTTATTCTACATAAAAAAATTATATTTTTACGCATTTAAAGTCGGTGGATATCAGTACACTTTAGTGAAGACTTTATGGGTGTTAATGCAATGTGACATAACAACGACAATAAGTTTAATCCAGCACTTCTAATTCATTAGAACAAAGAGCGCTGTTTTTTCGAGTTATTTTTCTTTCATTACAGTATTCGATTAATTGTTGTTAGAATTGATAGATTATATTTCAAAAAACCTTTTTACGTACTTTGCAAGATGATTCAATTTCTTTCTGTGGATGAATCTTTATGACGTGAGTATTTAAATGCTCTTTTTGTTTGAATCTTTTCTTACAAATAGTGCACGAAAATGGTCGTTCATTTGTATGTGATCTTTTGTGCCTTTCGAAACGAGATAGATTTGGAAAACTTTTATTGCAGAAATCACATGGATATTTACTTACTTTCGTTTCTTTTGACGAAATCTATTTAACATAAGCTTTACAACTAAATTATTTTTTATACATTTAAAGAAATTGAAATTAAACTATTTTGAAAATGAAGTTAACTCATAACGTTTTTAAAGAATTTTTCTTATTTTTTTTATAAATTTTGAATGTTTATAGAAAGAAAACATACTTGGTAATTAATAACTATGATTTATTAAATCGCAGTTACTTTGAAATTTATCAGAAATTTTTGTTTTTTAAATACTCTTATTAAAATACAATTATATAATAACCGACAAAAAATTTTTTTTGTCTACTCACAATTAAGAAATCAGTTATATTCTATTGCTTTAAACTATAGGCCTTCCGTTAACAAGATAAAAGCAATTTTTATTTCTAAATCTTGCAAATAATTTAATAAATACAGTAAACCGTTACATTAAAACAATTTATAACTTTTTGCACTTTGTTTTTCTTTTTAGACTAGTTCATTAACACCTGTCTTCAAATTTTGGGTACGAACGGAAATTGTGAGGGGTTCGAAAATAATTAAAATACTATCGAAAAAACATTTTTTTTTTTTAAAGTTAGATCATTAAAAATTCTCTCGAATTTACAATTTTGTATACCTTACATAGCGTTTTTACACTGCTCAGCATTTAAAATTGCTACACCGTAAAGGCGGTAGGTAACAAACGAGAAATTTGCACAAAAGGTACTACAATATGCCGGGTACTCCATACCTCAAGATTACACGCCAATTTAATCGTGTTTTCCTCCATTATACTGTAAACATGATTCTGCTATTCGCTTTCCTTCCTGGTGTAGCAATTTTAATTTTATAGCCGTTATAATTTGAATACAGTATTAGATTCGTTACGGATTTTTCGTTATGAGGCGTTGCCTAATGTTCTAAAAACGTTCAAACCGTCCAATAGCATTAATCGTCCAATCGGAGTATTAGAATCTGCCGTTTACAACCAATCAGAAAACGAGGACGGTTACAAATTGTTTTCAATTCTCGACTGTTGCATCAAGTAACGTCACAATCTTTATTGCTGTTCGAGCATATGCCGGTTGCTAATCTTGTTCTGGGTTACATTCTTCTTTTAAATATAATTTTGGTAAGCCACATTTCAATTATAATTATTTTTAATCTAATTTTAAAACGAGAAGTAAAAATAATATTTTAAAATTTATATTTTTAGACCGTAGATATCAAATATGGGAAGTCAACCGTTTCAATTTACGTGGAATAACCACGAGAAGGATCTGGTGTCTAGTTTCAAGCAGTTATTGACTACGGAAGGTTTGATGGACGTCACTCTATCTTGCGAAGGAAAAAAAATGAAAGCGCACAGATTGATACTGAGCGCGAGTAGTCCATTCTTTAACAATATTTTTATGGATAATCCGAATCAATATCCCGTTATCGTCCTAACTGATACGAAGTATTCCGATCTGAAAATGATTCTGGATTTTATTTATAACGGCGAAATTTTTATCCCGAGAAGTCAACTAGCTAGACTTTTAAAGACTGCAGAAGCGCTGAAAATAAAGGGTTTAATTCAATCCGAAGAAGCTCCGGAAGAAATGGCAAATGAATCTGCCGAAGTTTGCACTTCGCTACCGAGGAAAAGAAAACGGAGGAGGAAGAGAAGCTCGAGTGAATCGGACGACGTGGTCGAGATTCCCTCTAAAGTTAAGTCGTCAGAACCCCCACTTTTATCTCGGTACCGGATAGAAAAATCTTTCACGTCGTTTGCAGATTATAAAATACCCGAATCGACCAAGGACGAAGTCGAAATAATCGAAAATCCTCCGATAATCCATCTCGAAGTCGACGATGAGATCGAGATCGTAAGGGTGAGCACATATAATTTTATTTCGTAAATTGTTATTTAAATGTCTTCGTTCGTATTTCGAAAATTTATAGATTAAAAACGTAATACGAAGCTAATATAATTTATTATATAACAACTTTGGTTAATATACTGGTATATTTTCAGGAAAATGAAGGTGAAAATTTCGAATCCGAAGCTCCATCCGAGCCGATATCGTCGCAGAATCTTGTTTCCACAACTACGTCCGACCCATCGACATTCGTTATAGCATCCACATCACCTATTTCGAATAAAATTAAAATAAGCAATGTAAGGACAGATGATAACGATCGATTATCCGAAAATTCTACAACTAGGGATTTTTCTCTTCAATATTCGTCTTCAAGTTCCGATACTGGTAACCGATTTATTTCATAAATAAATTCATTTTATACATTATTTTAAATGTTAAAGTTTTTATAGAACCTCCAGCGACGTCCAGTCAAACCGATTTGGACCAAAACGTTCCCGACGATCCTCATGAAGAACCTTCAATGTCGGAGCTATCGGTAGCCGGTACTTCCCGTGACGATTCGAATTTATCGGAATCAAGTAATTCTAAAGGTGAGGAATTTGTTTTTACACGTTTATTTCTATACCGAATTTACAGGTCTAATGCAGAATTCATTCTGTGAATGCTTAATGGTAATTTTTTAAATATATATAACAGAATCTAATTCATTATTATTAAATTAAATTTTTAGAAATTAGTAATATAATAAAAGTACTGTACTGTTAATGCGTTTGCTTGTAGATATAATTTGTATATATATCGAAATATTTATATGTAAGAATTGTTACGAATCTTTGTATATCGTGATTTATTTGTATGTAATTGAAAATCTTGGTTTGTATTTTTATAATTTTTTGTTTTAATAAAAATATTTTTAAAAATTACGATTTCGGTTCATTTCTTTGCCGTTAAATCGTTTATAAACTTATAAATACGTGTACACGACTAGATAAGACGGGCATAATTATTTGATTGCATAGAGTTAAGCAGTGTAATTCTTTTTACTCGCGTAATAATCATTAATTAGTAATCAAAATTTAATTATTATAAGCATGTGACAAAAAACTAAACATATCGTAAGCACTTATAGAACTTTGTATATATTTAATACGAATCGGTTCAAAATGCACGCCGCACCCTACGCCATGTTAACAGGTCTTGGTTGACACCTTATCGTCGTAAATCATGAAGTTTTAATTAATGTAAACTCGGCTTGAGAACGACGCGGTTTGTTTTGTTAAATACAGAAACAATTGAGCTTCGTAACCAGTATTTTAAACATAAAAAATTTTTCTAAATAAATTCTTAAAAAAGTAAATAATTCGAATTTTTATTATTTTGAAAATATTTTTTATCATCAATCATAGAAAAAAAACAAGGATCATAAAGACAAAAAAATGTTTCTGAATAAAATCAAACAACAGTGCGAATTTAACGAAAAATATAGCGATGTAAAATCAACAAAAAAAAGCCTTGTAGCTCACTTACAAATCCACCTTTAGTTTTTCGCCCGAGTTAACTCGGCATGTTACATAGCCTTATATAAAACACAGTCGTTTCGGCCCCCCAAATTTTTTTTTTTTTAATTTTTAGAATGTTTTTTAAGTCTCCAAATTTTTTCAAAAATTTTTACCTGCGCAAAAAAATTTTATCGCGATTTTAATGAGCCTTTGATAAGGCTCGATTAAGGCTTAATTGTTTTTAATGGGAGTTTTTTTATCAAATTTATTTCATGTTTCCTAAGTTGTAGCGCACGGATTTTCCTTCGGTAAAGTTATTTAAAGCTGCTTTCTGATGTCAAAAACCACCTCCAATAGTTTTTTTAATTTTTTAAATTAATTAATTAATTGATTTTATTATATACACGTGTAATTAAGTCGGGGGGATCGGAAATCGCAATTAAAATTTGAATTTTTAAAAAAATATTTAAAAATATACGGCCAGCTAGAAGTCACCCTACTTTAAACCCTTGTCCTCCTGCGATGTCTATGAGAATGTCCCGGGAAATCCGACTCCAGCTGTGTTCAAGGTCATCCAGCTGTGTAAACAATGACTCATCGGTGTCAAATTTCGCAGAAAAGCGAGACAATGGAAAATAAAGTTTGAAGCTTTTTCTTCAAAATTAACGCATTTCTTTCGTTTTTTTTTCAGTTTTAAGTATTTCTTATGCTTAATTAAAAATTCTATAAAAAGTGGGCGGGTCGGACGACAGTGGAAATTTATGTCATTTTTTCAAATTGCAGCACAAGTTAAAATGCGCTTGCAATCAAGAAGAGAGAAAAATCTGGTAGAAAGAACATCACTGTTGACACAATAAGGACGAGTCTTTCCTTCTTTTCACAAACAATTCTTAGATTTTTATTTAACGATACTCAAAATTTAACTGTTTTGTGATGAATAGGTTTTTCCAGTTACACAACCACTAACGAAAATATAAACACATTTAAAAAGTCTTACTTTGGAAAATTCTTATAGCATAAAACAGTGTTTTTCAACCTGTGGGTCGCGGGTAAAAGAAAAAGAATTTTTCTTTTTCTTTTACTGTACTTTTCCTTTAATGTAAAAGAAAAAGAATTTTTCTTTTTCTTTTACATTAAACATAACACGCATTTAAAAACTCAAAATAAGGAAAAGTTTTGAATGATTAATATATTTAACATTGAATTTGATTTTTTTGTAGTTCAAGTGTTTGTAGGTTCTACATTAAAAGAAACTACAATTTCAGCGAGAATTACGGCCAACCCCAGAAAATGATAGCGGAAAAAGTGTTGAGCTGATTTGCAAAAAGAAATAAAAAGTAGAAAAGTAGAAGCTGAAAATTCAGATCCTAAAAAGAAAGGTCAACAGTTCCCTGTGCCTAATGTTATAATTAAAGGAAATTTCATACTTTGTGTTAAGTTATTGTCGATTCTTCTAAATTTTCATTTTAATCAACAATAATTTGTCTCAACAGAAAGAGAATTAAATACATAGTTTTTAAAATCACTAATATAGTTTTAATATGGCCCTAGGGGGTCGCCAGAATTTTTTAACTTGTAAAGGGGTCGCGTATTCAAGAAGGTTGAAAAACACTGGCATAAAATAAACACATAAAAGAAAAAATTTTTTCTTCTATCTTGGAATTTTGTGATTCTGTACCGGGTGTGCTTTTGTTTTTTTTTTAAACAGGATTTATTTCAATTATTGTTACCCATTTGTTTTAAAACAGAGATAAAACAATTTTAAATACTTAAATTTCAGTAAAAATTAAACCGTTCTAATTCAATGTATATTAATATAGAAATCTATGACAGTAATATAAGCTTAAATTTAATTTTGAAAGCCATTATTGAGAAGTTTTTTCAACTTCAAGTAGAGCAAATTTATCATAGAAAAATTTCATTTCCAGTTTTAATCTCCTACATACCATAATAATCATCATGAGTGTTTCTACTTTGTTTATTGTTCAAATTCATTTAAAACTTCAAGTAATTTATCAAAATGTTGATATTTACAATGAATTGATTTACCATATATTTATGGAAAGAATTGTCTGAATTACTAATTAAATTCAAAAACTGATATTAAGGTAGATTTATGGCTAATTTTTAAAAATGATAATTAATGAAGATATCTAAATTTTACTAATGGCAATATTTGAGTCAAATATGAAAAAAGTTAAAAAAAAAACAAAGTTCATTTTTTAATTTATATTTTTGAATTGATGCATGCACAATATACTTGTACTATTAACAATGAACCGATTGATTTTGTTATACTATATACAAAAATTTCCAAACACACTTTAAAACATAACACGCAATTAAAATATATCTATAAGCAATTTGAAAACTCAAAATAAGGAAAAGTTTCGAATGATTAATGTATTTAACATTGAATTTGATTTTTTTTTTCCTCTATGAAAACACATATCATTGGTACAAAATAGTTTATATACTTGAAATAGACAACTTACACAAATTGTTAATGGCAAGATGCCAACCTCACAGTGCATCCTTATAGCCATAATTTATTTCAGATGGAACAAAAATTTTGTATGAATAGTGCTAGCACATAATACATACACTTAATTTTTTACTGTACAAGATGGCTAATTTATGTACTGGCAGATTCTGATTAAAGAAATTTTTAAAAATATTTTACTAAAATAAATTCAGAATTAATGATAGTTTGTTCAAATAGAAAATTTTCTTTAGATTNTTTTGCGGGAAATCGAACATATTTTTAGACCCATCTAAAAATTCTCTAATTAGTCTGGAAACATGGGGACCCAATTATTGCATTCTGTGAAAACGGGTAAGGTTGACTGTAACGTAATAATCTTTATCTTAGTTATCGTTACTTTTGCCCGAGCAACGCCGGGCCCACCTGCTAGTAAAATATAAAATACAAAAATTTCTAGATCTAAAGTATTTCTGTTTATTGTTATTGTAAAGTTGTTGTTTAATATTTAATTATTTGTAAATACATTAGAAATTATCCTGTAGACAAAGGATTTCCTCCCCCGTAACAATACAAAATCCTAAACATAACAAGAATAACACAAAAATCATTTCGAATGGGGGAAAAGAATAATACAAAATTCGTTTACAATTACGTTTAGTAAGATTCGATTAGTAAATGAGATGTAATAGAAATATTCTATTTCTTAAATTTTTTTTCATCATCATCATCATCATTTTAATATCTATGTTTACTGAAATTTAACGTGGTATTTTGGAAATACCAAATAGTATTAGTGTATAAAAGCCAGGCTTATATGCTAATTTATGTACAGTACCTGTATTTAAACGTCTGTTTAATTTATCTTACAACATTAGAAAGATAGAAACATCTTTATTTTAAATTTGGATTACAAATGCATTTCGGGTAGGATTACATTCCCAACCCTTCTTCAGTGCATATAAAAGAATAAATTTACTTTATCTGAATTATATCATCCATAAACATACATAATAGTCTTTTATTCTACATAAAAAAATTATATTTTTACGCATTTAAAGTCGGTGGATATCAGTACACTTTAGTGAAGACTTTATGGGTGTTAATGCAATGTGACATAACAACGACAATAAGTTTAATCCAGCACTTCTAATTCATTAGAACAAAGAGCGCTGTTTTTTCGAGTTATTTTTCTTTCATTACAGTATTCGATTAATTGTTGATAGAATTGATAGATTATATTTCAAAAAACCTTTTTACGTACTTTGCAAGATGATTCAATTTCTTTCTGTGGATGAATCTTTATGACGTGAGTATTTAAATGCTCTTTTTGTTTGAATCTTTTCTTACAAATAGTGCACGAAAATGGTCGTTCATTTGTATGTGATCTTTTGTGCCTTTCGAAACGAGATAGATTTGGAAAACTTTTATTGCAGAAATCACATGGATATTTACTTACTTTCGTTTCTTTTGACGAAATCTATTTAACATAAGCTTTACAACTAAATTATTTTTTATACATTTAAAGAAATTGAAATTAAACTATTTTGAAAATGAAGTTAACTCATAACGTTTTTAAAGAATTTTTCTTATTTTTTTTATAAATTTTGAATGTTTATAGAAAGAAAACATACTTGGTAATTAATAACTATGATTTATTAAATCGCAGTTACTTTGAAATTTATCAGAAATTTTCGTTTTTTAAATAC